CGCGGCGCTCTTATTTTCGGTCATGTGCGGCCGCCAAGTTATTGCGTGAAGGGGCGCAGTGGAGTCTGGTCTTCCCCTCGGCCTGCGTGTGTGTGTGTGTGTGATGTTGGAAAAAGTTGCTGGCCTTTGGAGCCGACGACGACGTCGACGCCGCCCCTCCGCCGCCGGCTTCGTCTTCGCCTCCAAGTCCTATAAGTAGGAGCTGCCCCCCCCCCCCCTCCCGTCCCGTCCGCCTTGTTCTCGCGTCAAGACGTGACGTCACCGAGTTCCGCGGGCCCGCGGGGGCCTCCAGAGGGGAGGGGGGGGGGGGGTTGTTCGCAGTCCCACGGTCCACAGCAGCAGCGACAGCGCGCCCCGGCCTAACCCCGCGTCACTGCGCCACGCAGCGCAAGGCAACTCCCCGAGTTCGCCTATCAGCACCTCGGGGGGCTCACGGTGGCGGCGACAGGCAAACTCGCCTCCTCTGTGTGTGTGTGTCGAGTGTGTGTAACAGCGCCGGGTGCAAAACAAATTCAGGTCGGTGTTCCCGCGAGCCAGCAATTATGAAAACAACGATCGAACGCTCCGCCTCGACTGTCCAGCAGCGGGTCCAGCGCTGGCCGCACCGTGTGATGGCCGTGCCCGCTGGCGGTCGAGCGGGGAGAGAGAGAGAGAGAAAGAGAGAGAGAGAGAGAGAGAGAGAGGCTGCCCCCCTTTCTCCCCCGGGGCCCCGCAGCTCTTAATCCGATCTAACGCGGGGCCAGGCCGGGCCAGGCCGGGCACAACAGGGAAGGGTTGCTGATTAGCCAGCAGGGAGACCCCCACCCCCTCGCCGGTTACCTATACCCCGTATTCCCCCCCGCCCCTCCCCCCACAGTGGAGCAGAAGGCGGCCCCCAGTCTGGCACACAGTAAAAGTCCGAGCCGGGTCGTAATTGAAGCAAACTTGCTTCAACTTTTGGAGCAAAGAGGAAGTTATCGGGCGGTACAACTGCTGCTGCTGGTGCGGCGCGGTGCGGCCGCCAGCCCACAGCCTCGCTGCTGGAGGAGGAGGAGGAGGCCCTGCCGTTGGTCTGGCCCCGGTCTGGCCGCGCTGGCTTCGTGAAATTTTAACCGCTCAGCGGCCAGTTCGCGCCGTCGTGTTAACGATTACAGACCAGATGATCAGGACGGAAAAAAAATGTTGGCACGGCGGCGGCGGTGGGGTTCGAACCCGGGGCCGACCTGTTGTCTGCTGTAATGCGCTACATTGTCCGCGACCTCGCTCCTAAAAGCGCCGTAAAACGGAACGGCGCGACCACCAGCCGCGGTGCGGGCTCCGACCAGAAAAACACAGCACACACACGCACACAACGATGGATGAGGTGATGGCGCGGGGCGAGCGGGAAACTACGGCATTCATGGATTCGCGGCGAGGGGCGCAGGTTCGAATCCCGGCAGTGCCGTCCGGGATTTGGAGCGCGGCTAAAGGCGCGGGCCCGGAGACCGCCCGGCTGGGTAGGCAGCGCGCCCCACGCGCGCGCGCGCCGGGCAGGTATCTCCCGGTTTGCGGGCGCTAGCCGCCGCCGTGCCAACCCGAACTCGCTCCTTGACGAAGAAAAGCCCCAGCACTTGAAAGTGTATCCCTCTCACGCGACTCAGGACGTGCCGATTAATCACTCGTTCCTCTCATTTGCATGTCTCTCTCTCTCGCTCCGCGCGCTTTGCCTCCACCGGGACGTGCTTCCCCCTCTCGCTCACTCCATCACGGCACCGCGGCGGCAGCGTGCGGCGTGCGGCAGCGCCACAACATTGTAGCAGACGGCGACGAGCAGACGACGCGGCAAGTGATGAACCCCGCCCAGTATGAGAAATTGCCCGTGGCGTTACGGCGAGCCTCGGCAGGCGGGGGAAGGGAAACGCGAACGGAAGGGTTTCTCTGCTCGCCGCAAACGGCCGTTTTGCTTCCCTTAAGTGCAGGCCTCCTTGTTTTTGTTTTTGCTTCGCCCTTTTCTGCTTCGGGGAGGATTGTGCGGGGATTTGAACCCGGTACGGTCCTCAGCATTTCCGTCAGGTCCGAAGCCGTTGGGGTCGGGTCTGTCGGGTCGGGTGCTGGACGTGGCCAGTCTATAAGCCGGCTCACACGGCGGCGAGGCGGCCCTCTCCCTCTCTCTCTCTCGCTCTCTCTCTCTCTCTCTCTCTCTCCTCTCTCTCTCTCTCTCTCTCTCTCTCCCTCCCTCCCCAATCATCCGCAAAGGCGTGGGGGGGGGGAGGCCCCGTCGCGACCCGCCTGCTGATCACATTGCCGTCCAAGTGGCGTTTGGGTAGCGACTTGCCAGCCGCGCATCGCCCGTTGGCCCGTTGGGTACACTGGGAACGCTCGGCCGCGTCGAATTTGGGTCGATTTTTGGCGTCGTTCGGCGCCACCTAGCGGCCGTCCGCGGAAACACGCACGTTGCCTGGGCTGGGCTGTGCTGGACCTGAACGCCCCAAAGGAAATCCACGCAGCGTCTCCTTGGCAGGGAGTCCCTGCTTCGCCCCGCCTCGCCCCGCTCAGATTGGCTGGTGGGGCGTGGCAGCGGGCCGCTCCGTGTGTGTGTGAGAGAGAGACGTAGCGTGAGAGCGAAGATTTGGAGCCAACAGTGGCCGTGAGATGAATGCAGCCAAGTCACGCTGGGCCTGGCTCGGCTGCGCGCTGTCTCTCTCGCACACATACGGGACGCCCCATGAGAGAGGGGGGGGGGAGCGCTCTCGCTCGGAATCAGTGTAGCAGATGTTGCAGCGCCCCCTCTATCCAGGCCTCCAGTTCGCTCGGTCAGCCTGACTTTCCCAAATTCGAAATTGCCGCCTCTCAAGTCGATGGAGCCGAAACTGGCGGGGTTCGCGGCGGACGCGGATTCGGCGGCGCCGCCTTTAACTCGAGTGTTTTATGTCGGTATCTGCCGACCCTGCACCGGGGCTGGCGGCCCTGGCGGCCCTTGCCAACTTTCCGGTGTGAAAAGGGAAAAAGAAACAGGCGAGTCTCGGAATGCGCCCCGGCCCGGCCCAGGCCCCGGCCCCGGCACCTCGGATGTTATTTGGCAGTGGGCGCGCATTCCAGCGGGGCGATGCCGATGCGTCTGTCTCTCTCGCACCGCCGGGGCCGCGCCGTGAGTGCGAGAGAGACAGCGCGACGACACCGCCTCGTTCGGCGAGCATTGTGCCTCCGTCACGACCGTGGACCGGCACTGCCGAGCCGCGACTCCTTTCCGCCTCCGTGCACTTCGGGCCTCCGGGCCGCCGGGCCGCCGAGCCGCACTCTGCTATGATTGATGTGGTGGTGTCGAAGGGGCGGCCCAGGGGGCCGAGGGGGCGGGGGGCGTGTAGATCGCGACCTGATGTCAGTTTGTAGCGGCCCCCTCTACCCCTTCCGGGACGGCCCGGCGGCCGGGCGGAGGCTGACGGCTGAGCAGGGCAAAGGGGACGCCGGCCGACGTCGGCGACGTGCATTTCTCATTACACCGGCTACTTCCTGTCCTCTCCCCCGGAAAGAGTCCCTTTTCCTGCCGGGACAAAAAGGGAACGCGGACGAGGCTTTGCTTTCACAGTGCCGTGCGGTGCCGTGTGACCGGGAACGGGCGTGGTGGACAGCGCGAAGTGCAGATGGCCGTAAAGAGGCCATGAATACTCTGTACGCGCCGGGAGTACCTCCCTGCTCGCTTGCTGTGGCGCCTTGCTCGCGGCGTCGCTCGGACCGCCGCCACCGCCGCAGCACTCTTGGCGACGGGCCAGCCGCCCCCCCCCCCTCCCCCACACGCGTGCTGCCCGCGTCCCCTCCTCTAATGGTACGCGAACAATGAGGAAATATATATGGAAAAAAAAATCGACCCAAATTTCGCCAAGAAAAATGGGCGTCCCGTAAATGCTCGTGAGGGGGTGGGGCGCTTATCGGCGCGCGTCCGCCCCGCCCCGCCCCGCCCCGCCCGCTCTCCCTTATACACGAACGGATAATCGTTCTTTTACGCGCTCGCTTCCGCAATTTTTCTTGTGCCTTGTGTTCTTTAGTTCTTTAGCGGCGCGCCCATTTTTCACCGCTCGCAGAAGGAACGGAAACTAATTCTGCATTTTGGCGCGCGCGTCAAGTTGGCGAAGCGATCGCTCGATGGAGGAGGAGGAGGGGGGGGGGCGCCGCCTTGTCTGCGGGCCGTGTTTTGGCCGGGCGGTGCCTTCTCGAAATGGAGCGGCCTCGGCCTCCGCGTCTTGAAATATCGGCAAAGGGATTAGCCCGCGTCATGGCTCTGGGCTGCTGCGCTGCGCTGCCGAACCACCCCGAGGACACGCCGCCACGCCGTGCCCGTGGCCGGGGCCGGGGGCTCTCATCGGCATGTCCCTCTCGCACGCCAGCTCCATGAGTGCGAGAGAGAGAGAGAGAGAGAGAGCGCGCTCGGAATGAGTGCCGATGCTGCTGGAATCCAGAGGCGGCCCGAGGCCCTGGACATTGATGATTCAATCCCATCTTGATCCGGCTGTGGCCCGCAGTGCCCCGCCGTGGCGGCACTGGCCGAGCTGGCAGCCCCAGGGGTGCCACCGCAGTAACGTTTTACGTCACGTTGCGCCGCGGGGACGCCTTTTCGGAGGCCTTCTCGGCCTCGCTCGGCGCGCTCGGACCACTTCCAGGCCGACACACCGGTCCCTAAATATTGCAGCAGTCCTTCAGTCCTGCCGGCACGCTGCAGGCTGCAGCATGCTGGCAGCAGGCGGAAGATGGCCTTAAATATTAAAGCAGGGTAAACTAACGGGCGTTGCCGTTATACCTGGCCTGGTCTGGTGTTATCTTTCGGTTTTCTGGCTTTCTCCCCGCCGCCGCCGTTCCGGGTTCCGGACGTGTCGCCGCGCCGCGGCGTCTCGGCGCTCTCGGAGATTACCTGCGGCGTCTTCCTCCGTTTCCGGCGCGGCTTCCTTCATCCCCCTCCAGGGCCAGGGCCTGCAGGGCTTGCAGTACGCGACTCGCGAAAAAGGAAAGTGACCCGGTATTCGAACCTCGGTCTTCTTGTTTGTCCGCAGGTGTGGCCGGCACGGTTGAGGTCCACTTCGAGAACAAGGACGGCGGCTTCTTCCTCAAGCACATCCCCCGGTCGTACCCGCTGGCCAGCGCGGGCGCGGCGGGGGCGGCCGGGGGGGCCCGGGGGGGGCCGGGACGGCGGCCGGCCTCGGCGGCACCACCTCCGTCGTCGGCGACGGCGACCAGGACGGCGACGACGCGGTGCTCGGCGTGGGCGCGCCGACCGGCGCCGGCTCGGTGCTGTCCGTGGACCGCTTCACCGTGTTCCAGACGGCCGAGCCCGTGTCGGTGCGCGCCTCCTACGGCCCCTTCTCCACCAAGCAGACCGTGCCGGCGAGGTACATCGTGCCCGACCCCGTGGAGCAGCTGCCCGGACCCTCTCAGGTACGTTTGTAACATTGCATGCTGTAAATCTTAACGGTGGAGTCTGCGTTGCACCGGAAATTAAACCCGAAAGTGGAAATAGTTTGTTGTGGCGGAGAGCCCCTTGCGTTCTCGGCTAGACTGTCCCGCCGAACGGGCCTCCAACCGGGCTGCCTACCCGCCGGGCGCTACCGCTACACCTGAAGGCCTCAAGGAGAGAGAGGAGAGCCATTTGTCGGCCGAGCTGCGCTGGCCGCGCTGGTCTTCGCCGAGGAGCACCTCCTTTGACGGGGAAACATTTCTTTTTAAAGCCTTCGGCCCGGAAAACACGCCCCGCGCCGCCCCGACCGCAGCCGGAGTCTGTCTCTGATGAATGTCTCGGCCCTTCCTCGGGTGGCTGAGGCCGAGGCCGCGGCCCTGGCCGAGCAGGCAGCGCAGCCAGACCGGCGAGACGCACAGACCGAGCTGGCGGTGCCGGCGGCCGGAGGGGCCGGGCGGTGGCGCTGGCGTTTTCCATAATTAAACTTGTTCTAATGTTCCGCTTTTTCGAGAGTCCGGCTCTGGCCTGGGCTGGCTTGCGGCGGCGCCGAGGCCAACGCGCTGAGGCAGGCGCCCAGAGAGGGAGAGGTCTGAGGTGGGGATTTCCTTCCCTTCCGGGCCTGACCGGGGTAATGATACGCCCTTACCCGTACCGTGCCGCTCAGCACACCGCGTCCTGGCCGCCGGCGCCATGACCGAGGCCGTGGCCGAGGCCGCGCGATCCGGCAAAATGATCTACGTCGCACAGAGCTGCAGAGGCACAAGGAAAGCTTATTAGACTGCGCCCCGCATTCAGCACGAGCTTAGGATCCAGCGAGGTCGAGAGAGAGAGAGAGAGAGAGAGCGAGAGAGAGAGAGAGAGCGAGAGAGAGAGAGAGAGAGAGAGAGAGAGAGAGAGAGAGGAGAGAGAGAGAGAGAGAGAGAGAGAGAGAGAGAGAGGCCATGCCGTTGTTAATCGCAGTAATGAGGCCGAGAGGTTTCGAGAGGCATTCGGAGAGCGAAGGCTCTCCACCCGGCTTTCCTCTCTGGCTGATCGGAATCCGGGTGCTTTCCGGCGGGATATTAAAAAGTCTTGAACGGAAACGCTCGTGAATCGAACCCGCGAACGTGCGCTCTGCTGCCAATAAGGATAGCCCCCCACGTGTTCGCGAGTGGTAGTGATATTGGGAATTCAATAGTAGCTTAACATATTGAAATTGTAGTCAATTGAAGTCCCTGCTTTGCATAACACTGTACTGCCGTCTCCGCAGGACACGCCGCTGAACATCTCCCAGCTGGGCGTGGCCCGCCACCTGGACATGTCGGCGCACATGGTGCGTGCCGACGTGGCCCGCGACCAGCCCGTGCTGCGCGTGCTGTTCCACACGGGCGGCGAGCCGGCGGCAAGGCAGCAGCACGCCGCGCGCCAGCAGCGCGTCTGCATCGTGCTGCACGTGAGCGTGCCCGGCAAGGCGCCGCTCACCGCGGCCTGCAGCCCCGACGGCGAGGACGGCGTGTGCCTGGCGCAGGTGAGTGTCCGCGCCGTCGCACGGTGGATTTGCCAGAAGACCGGTGGAGGCGGCCGAAACTCCAGACGCGTTTTGAGCTCCAGAGTCGCTGAATGGGACTCGAACCGAACGTGTGACCCCACCAATGGATTGCTCTCCGAACGAGGAATCCATCGGTGGGGTCACACGCTCGGTTCGAGTCCTGTGGCGACTCTGGAGCTCAAAACGCGTCTGGAGGTTTGGCCGCCTCCACCGGTCTTGGCCCACTGTGCGTCGTTGTTTTGCCTTCCGCCCCCTGCGCCGTGACCTTGACCGTCGTCGGCGTGCTTGCAGGTGACCATCCCGCACACCTGGTGGCCGCCGCTGCCTCCACTGCCGCCGACCGAGGAGCTGACGGCCGCCGCCGGGCAGTCCTCCGAGGGCGCAGCGGGGCTCGGCGACGCGGCCGCGCAGACGACGGCGGGCGCGGGCGCCACCGGCGGCCTCGGCGCCGTGGGCCTGGGCAAGTCGCCGCCGCGCAAGGCGCCGCCGCGCGTCGTGCAGCTGGCCCACTCGGTGCTGGAGCCGCGCGGCTCGGAGCCCGGCTGCGTGCCGCGGGTGCAGATCCAGCCCGTGACCCCGCTCGGCACCGCCACCCTGGTGCCCGCCAAGTCCGCCTACCGCGAGTTGCGCGCCGACGAGCGCCTCACCATCCTGCTGCCGCACGCGCCGCTCTACCCGCTGTCCAGGATGCACCTGCCCGTCTTCCTGCAGCCCAGGCCCCTCCAGCCGCGCGTCGCCGTGCTCATCGTCAAGTAAGTCGCGGGTTCGATACCCGGCAGCGCGCTTTTTTTTTGAAACTTTTTGTTTCGTTTCGCAGCGTTTCAAGCATGAAAAGAATGTCAAAGGGGGATACACCGCATGCATCGACTTTGCGGGACGTGATGCCAAATTTCCTGGCAGTTTAGATTTTCCATCGGGGATGGGCGGACGCGCCCGGAGGCCCAAAGCCTTTGCCGGTGGCGAGGAGGCCATGGCGAGGCCGTGCTGGCCGGCATTGTGATGGAAGGGACGAAAGGCAGCCCAGCTTCCCTCTTTGTCCAGCAGAGCAGGGCTGGGCCGCCGTGGCGCGCCGTGGCGCCGCTACAAGAGCCTTACTCGTGAGATTGGCTGCCCCGCCCCGCCCCGCCCTGCCCCGCCCTGCCGCGTGTGCAGGACTTGATACACCGCGCTGTGTGTTGGGGCCGAGCCGGCCGGCCGTGCAGTGTTTGCCTCCACTAATTGAAACAAAATATTTTATTTACTGATTAGAGCTAGCGAGGCTGCACGCTGCGCGGGCCGCTCCCCGCCACGCCCCCCGGCCCCGGCCCACTGCAAATACTTCATTCTGTCTCTGCTGCGCGGACCACGGACGCACGGACGGCGCCTAGGGGCCTCTTCCAGCCTCCCCGCCGCGCACGCCCTCACGCAGAGGCAGCGCTTCTCAACCCCCCTGGCTCACGACCCATAGCTGGCGGCTAAGATTATCGCGTCCCACTGCCAGACCCACACAGTGGGCCAGAAGACCGGTGGAGGCGGCCAAAATCCCGGACGCGTTTTGAGCTCCAGAGTCGGTAAATGGGACTCGAACCGAACGTGTGACCCCACCAATGGATTGCTCTCTGAACGAGGGATCGTTGGTGGGGTCACACGTTCGGTTCGAGTCCCATTTAGCGACGCTGGAGCTCGAAACGCGTCTGGAGTTTTGTGCGCCTCCACCGGTCTTCTGGCCCACTGTGGCACCCCACCTCGGGCGCGACTTGGCGTCGCGGAGGGGCCGGGGATGACTGGTCTCCAAGTTAGAAAGAAAAGATTATTTCGCCGAGGGAGGGGAGGGGGCGGCAAGTCGGGCCGCAGGGAGGCGCCGCGATCCTCGTTCCCGGAATTGGCACCTGGCGGACGGGGACCACGGGGACCACGGCGACGGCCAACAGCGGAGCAGCGCCACCTGGACGCGGTCCCGCGGCCTCGCCCGCCTCCGGCCCCGGCAGCCTCGGCAGCCTCGGCTTCCCGATTATTGGCTTATTTTAAAATTCTTCCCCGGGACGCCGGGTGGCGCGGCGGGCGGTACGGCGGGCGGTATGCGGGCGGCGTCCGTGTCCAATCATCGTTACGGGGCCATCCGGCCATCCGGCCATCGCGGCGTGGGGCCATCGGACCGGCCAAAAATATCGGCCGGACAAATTGCCCGGCCTTGGCGCCGTCGCCACGTCGCCGCCACGACGGCAGCCTCGTTGGGGTGGGGCGCGCCGGGCCGGCCGGGCCAGCAGAGCGCCGCCAGGAACGCGGCAGAGGCGAGAGGAACGCGCTGCTGCGCTTTTTTCGCGCGCTTTTTCGCTCCCTTTTTGCGTGCCCGGCCTGGCCTGGCGTGCGGTGCCATGATGGGGCCTGCGGCCTGCGGGCAGACAGATGAGAGGGGCGGGCCGCCAGGTGAGGGGGGGGCAGCCTATGGCGGCTCCGCAGCGGGCCTCGGTGTGCCCACGTCCGTAAACTAGGCCGTCAACATACACTATGTGTTTGTGGAGCGGGCCCGTGTGGTCTCTCCCCCCCCCCTCTACTGCGTCGCGCTATCCCGGCCGAGTCAAACACCACTGCAAACACATTCCTGCAACGAGTGAGCAACGCATGGCTACGCAGTGGTCCCCGTCGCCCGGCACCGCCGGGGTAAAACAGCAACAGCGTCCCTGGGATGCTAACCTGGCATCGGTGCTGTGACTCTGCCCATGTCTCCTTACAGTGTCCTGATGATCTTCCTTAACAGTGTGGTGACGGTTTTTGCAGGGCGCGCGCGAGGCCGGGGCTGCGGATCCTGGGCGCGGAGGCCAGCTCGGACGAGTGGTGCGTGAGCGTGGACATCAACCCCAAGCACACCGTGGCCACCGTGACGGCGCTGCGCCGCCTGCCCGAGGGCACCACCGAAGTGCACTACCAGGACGACCCCATCGACCCCAAGAGGACCCTGCCTGGGTAAGTGGCCACGTTTTTACGCTGGGCTCCAGGGATATTCATAACGGGTCTGCTCTTGTTCAAAAGACATCTTAAACCCGAGTGCTTTGACTAGTGACTTGGCGGGGGGCGCGGAGTGGTGGGGCGTCTCAGCGTTTCGCGAGGCTCGCTTCAACGCGCTGCCGCTCGGCTTCGCGGAATCTCGAAATGAGCCTCAGCAACCTCGCGGAGCGAGGAGCGCAGCACAGCCATCCTCTTATTCCTTCATCTTGTTTCCACTCTCTCTCTCTCTCTCTCTCTCTCTCTCTCACTCACTCACACTCACGCGCAGGCAGAGGTTGTCATCCTCCCGCTCATTGCATCAGACACCCTTTTAAGAGCCGCGCCCCTCCCCGGCCCCGCCCCCCATCCGCGCTGCCAGCCCACTCAGCCAAGCGCCTGCCAGGGTAGGCCGCGCGCCCCACCACGGTGCGCGGCGGTACAGCCGAGCCGCGGTCCGCAGGCGCTCTCTCCCTCTCTGTCTCTCCCTCTCCCTCTCTGTCTCTCCCTGGCCGCGAATAAATATATGCGGCGGAAATGAAAGGGAAATAATGACGGAATGGACGCGTCTGGCAGCCCGTCCGTCCGGGCGGGACTGGCGTGGCAGGCAGCCCCGCCTGTGGATCGAGTCAACAATACGGCGGAAGGACTCTCCTCTCGTTAGGCGGCTTGTGTCAAGATCCCCTCCCTGTCTCTCTCCTTCTCTGTCGCTCTCTATCTCTCCCGCCGCGCGCGCGGCCCCACGGGGCCCGGCCCGGTAGGTCCCCGTAGGTCCTGTTGAGGTCCTTCTTCTCCCGTTCGTTCGGTGCTAAGGCATGGCGGGGCATGGCGGGGCATGGCGGGGCATGGCGGGGCATGGCGGGGCATGGCGGGGCATGGCGGGGCATGGCGGGGCATGGCGGGGCCGTGGCAGCACCCTAGGCGGTGCCGGGCCGCTCTGCCGGGCCGCTCTGCCGGGCTAGGCTCCTAGTATTGATTAGTAAGTGGCGAGCTGGAGAGCGCCCTGGCTGCAGCCAGCGAGCCGGGCCCCGGAGCCACCGACGTCCTCCTGGACCCTGGACTCGATGGCGGCGGCTGGGAGGTCGTTACCAACGCATCAACGCCCCCGCCCGCCTCCTCCTCCTCTTCCTCGCGGCTGAGTCGAGTCCCCTTCCTGATTTAATAAAGGCGGTCTAATTAATCGGCTTTATTCCATTTTGATTGCGACTCTGTCGGCGGCTAACTTTCGTGATTGTGACCTCTGCGCTGGGCGCGCTGGCCGCGGGAACGCTTCCGCTTTGGGTGCTTCCCTCTCCCACTCCTTCTTCTCCTTGGTGCTCCAGGGGGTCTTCTTCTGGTCCGGGCCGTGGAATAAGCCGGAGAGATTGGGTAATGCACCTCGTATTATCGTGTTTCACTCCCGGAGTGGCCGCGCAGGGCCGGGCGCTTCGCCGCGTATGTAGGGCGAGGCATCCAAAGGCAGCGGAGTGGAGGGCTTCAACATCCCGTCCTGAAAATCAATAAAATGAGAGGAAACGAGTCTCTTTCCCTCGGGTTTTCGGTTGTTGTTTGGTTGGTGAAGCCGTCCGTCGGCCCCAGGCTGTCCCACAGGCTCACTGATCCTCCCCGCCGCCGATCCCCGCCAGACGCGTCGCGTCGCGTCATCCCTCCCAGCGCGGCTCCATTTTGTATTTTGTTGTGCTTCCCGAGCGGGCCGCCCCGGGGTGCGCTTGGCTTGGCTCGGCAGCGCCGGCCGGCCAGCCGAGCTGGCAGCCAGCAACTCAATTAACGCAAGCCCCACCTTGACTCCGCCAGACCGCCACCGTCCAGCCCGACCTAGCCTAGACCCGGGGTTTGCCCAGGCCGGTCCAGACTGGCCCTGCCCTGCCCAGACTGCCCCGTGCCCTTGCCTCTGGCTGGCCTAGCCGGCCCAACTTCCTGATGAGTTTAACTGACTTTCCCGACTCAATCCGAGCCGAGCCCGGCTACCCGCGGCAAGTCCACGGTGTTATGGCCGTGCACGAATCACGTAACACCGCGGCAAATCACGCCAACCACGGCGCTGTTGTTGTTGTTGTCGCTTACAGCGTAATGAGCCGCACATACGGGCCTCCAAAAAACACTCAGCCCGCCTGTCTGTCCGTCCGTCTGCCCGCGACAGGCCGCTCCATCAAAATGACGCCGGTAAAAAAGCGCGAGGCTGCCAGCGACAGAGTGTGCCCGCGGGACGGTGCGCCGCAGAGTGCGTGTCAAGTAGACAGTGCTTGTATCCCCCCCACACACACACACACAGAGGCACAGCCCCCAGCAGGTGAGCGGCAACGCGCCATCACTTGCAATGTCACAACCAGAACGCCTTCGCAGCGCTCCGCAGAGCCCACCCTACACCCCGCCAAAATTGAGGCCTTTTTTTTCCCGGCGTGAAATCATTTCGAATCGAGGACGGCAGCAGACAGCAACCCCCTCCGGGACAAAGGCTGTGACACTGGGATGGAAGTGTCGGTAAAACAGGTCGCTCCCTGTTTATCGACAGGGAAGTAGCGAGGCGTTTCTGAAGCCCGGTTTGGTATGCGCGGCCGGGCGCCGCTTCGCTCCGCCGCTCCCGGCGTCTTGCTTTCATTATTATTTTTATTTTTACATAACTTGATTGCCGCGAGGCGGGTCCGCAGCCAGGTCCGCACCTCACGCCTCGGCGGCCTCGGCGGCCTCGGCGGCCTCGGCAGCCTCTCGCGGACGTGGCGCCCCTGGCGGCGGCGTGGCGGCGCGAGACTCCCTCCCCGAGATAAATCCTGGCCCATATGCCCCGCAGAGGGCCCGGCCGAGGGCCCCGCAGAGGGCCCCGCCGCCCCCAGCGTTTTCCCTCCACTCGCCGAGGCGGGGCGGCGCGGGGAGATGGCGAATTGCTGTTTCGGCTCCCCGTGCACCGGGCACGGGCGTCTGCCGCGCCGTTCCGGAGGATGCCCCACAGGGCGTTCCAGAGGGCGTTCCACAGGGCGTTCCACAGGGCGTTCTGCGGTGCGGTGGAGGCACGGACGGGGGGTTCTAAGAGGTGCTGACCGCGGAGAACGGGGATCCCAAGCTCCCCGAACACGGCTATAAAACGCGACGTGGCAGAACGGTCCTCAAATCATAATCGATGACCCTCCCCTTCGTACCTGTCTTGTGGCTTTGCTCCCCCCCCCCCCCCCCGGGCCGCCCCTATCGTCGGCGCGCAGGCCCTGCGAGTCTGCGAGGTGTCGGCCGTCGGCACGGAGGAGGGGTCCCGAAAAGAGGGCAGAAGAGCAGCCCGGGAGTGGAAAGTTGCAGAGACGATGGAACCAATATCCAGACCGCGGGGCCCCGGCCCGGCCCGGCTAAGCCGGCGTGGTGGGGCGGGGTGGGGTGGTCTGGGAGGAAGGCCCCTCACGCTGCGGGAATTAAGAAACTTGTGTTATCTCCTAGAAATTGCGCGCACCACCTTGTAGGGCGGCGCGGCGGATGTGCGGGACGGATCCGGGTGCCGCTCCCCCGCGGGGCCCTGCTGGCCCTGCTCCCCGCCATCCAGACCCCATCGGCGTGTAGCGTGCAGCAGTGGCGCGAGTGCCTGGAGAAGCTATTTGCATCCGTACCGGGGACAGGCTGCGCCCCCGGGGCCTGGGGGCGTCAGACTGGAGACTGAAGTGGGCCTCAGCTGGCCTCGGGCAGGGGGTCGTCCAGCTCCTGGAGGTCCCGGACAGTCCCGGACAGCGATGGGACAGGTCCTCCCCGTCCTGCCCGCGCGTCCACTCAAAGTTGGGCGGGCCGGTCCCCAGCCCAGCGCAGCCAGCGCAGGCCGGCGGGCCGCGAGCATGCCGCCCTTGCCAACCTTCCAACTTTGAATGAGAGCGACGTGACGGCTGTCCATGCACGCCCCCGCCGCCCCACTGGGAAAAGGCGGCAAAAGGCTCGAACGACCGCTGGATTTGGATTCGGCGTCACACTGCCAAAACCTATAAGCCCGCGCTGCCCCGGCCTTAGTGGCCCAAGGGAACCCTTGCGCCCTGCTCTCTCATTAGGACGCCATGCAGGCCATGCAGGCCCCCTTGTTCTGCACTCTTGAGCTAATCATTTGCGCCCTTCTTTTGCAGAGTGTCCGAGGTGTTCTCCTGGCTGCTGGAGGTGGCCGAGGACTCGACCGAGCTGTGGGAGGACGCCCGCATCGTGTGGAGCGTGCGCTACGTGCTGGAGGGCGGCTCGCAGATCCAGGACGGCGTGGAGCAGGAGGGCAGCCCGAACCTCATGGAGGTGCCTGAGATGCCTGACGCGGACCCGGCGGACGCCGAGCACGCCGTCGAGGACACGGAGCTGCCGCAGGCTGACGGCGTGGCGGCCATGGGTGGCGCGGCCGGCGGTGCGGTCGCGCGCTCGCGGGCGCCGCGGTCCACGCACCACGGCCACCACCACCAAGGCCACCAGGGCCACCAGGGCCACCAGCCGCACCAGGGCCACCACCACCAGGGCCACCACGCCCACCACGGCGAGCGCCACCAGGTGCACGGCGAGCTGGTCGAGGAGACGCGCCGCAAGCTGGTGGCGCGCTTCCAGGTGCAGAAGGACGACATCCAGGCCGTGCTGCCCATCAGCAAGGTACGTCGCCGCACTAGGCGTGCCGTTTATGGACAGTCCCTCGTCAAAACGGGCGTAATGCCTGTCCGGAGTCACGTCTCCGGGTCGCGGGCCGGGGCGTGCTAACGTCCAGAGAACGTAACTTGGCCCATTGGCCCGGGGCGCGGCGCGGTGCGGCGCCTGGCTCGTAGCCGAGGCGGTGCCGCAGCAGCTGTAGCACTAGGCCAATGCGCCAGCACGCCAGCGCAGGCACCAGCCCCGGCACCAGCCCCGGCACCGCCCCGGGGCCGCAAGCCGCAAGGAGAGTACCTGCAAGTCCCGCAGTCACACTGCGCCAGCGCCGCCAGGACTGCGCGCGAGTTTTAACTTTGTTAACGACACCATGAGGACCTCCTCGCAGCGCGGCAGCTAGCGGCAGCGCAGCGCGCCCTGCTTAGTCGCATTAGACTGCCTTGAGAGAGGAGGGGGGGGGGGCGGCCGTCTCGAGAAGCCGAGCGACGCGACGACGACGCGGCTCACGTCAGCGTCACTCCGCGACTCCTCGTGCGTCGGGCCGTCGGGCTGGGCGCCTCCGAGCCTCCAACTTTGACGCGCGTCCACGCCAATCCCGGCGCCGCCAAGCCCCGGCCGCCCCGGCCAATCCAATCAGGCGCTGCGTACTGGCGGCAGCAGCGTTCCATTTGTTTTTATCGCTGCCACGCCGGTTTTCATCTCGGAAGAAAAGCTTTTTTCTATTCACATAACTTCCAAAAAAATTGTTTTTCAAAATAAATATGGGTCAGCTTGATATGAAGCCGGTCCCCGCCCAGCCCACAGTCCTGACCTCCCCCCTCCTTTTCGCCTGCCCCGCCCCCGTCCCCGCTTCGCCTCCCAGCCGTCGAGAAACTCATTCCCAGATGACCCTTCTTCAAAGCCCGCCAGGGCAGTCGGCAGACGTGCTCGGAAAAATGACACGACCTTTTGTCGTGGGGGGGGGGGACCCTGGACGATGGATGGACACGCGCGGCCCACGACGGCGGCGTCCCTCGCGGTGCTGCCGCTGCCCATGATCATCACCGCCATGATGGTGACGGTGACCATGTCGGTAACGGTGAACGGCCCCGCCCCCTTTTTCGGCGAAGGGTTGTCAGATCGCGCCGGATAGAAGTAACGGGTGGGGTGGGGAAGCCAGGCGCTGTGCGGCCGCGGGCCGCGGGGGAGGGGGCGGGAGAAAGATGGAACTTCACACTTGCGTACTACTTCCTACAGACTTATGGCCCCGTGCACTCTAAAACACCTCGGCAAGAAGGCGAGGCAGGGCGAGGCAGGGCGGGGGTCCGGGTGGCGGCACCGCGCGGCGCCGGGGGAGCATCTCGCCCCAACTTTTTTTCTCTCTTGAAGGTTTTGAAAGTTTTACTGCGGACTCGCCCTCCCCATCTCTCTCCCCTCTCCCTTCGCGCGCGGCCGGGGCGGCCGGGGCCGATTCCGGCCCGATCCGTGCCGCCGGACTGGCCAGACCGCGCCGGGAGAGTGGTCAGCCAGCCCCGGACCCCGGCCGGCCAGATTCCAATCGGCACAAGCACATCACTTTCTCATTTTCGACCTGATACGACCCCCCCGCCATATTTCGTCCGTTTTGTCCATTCTGTCGGTGGGCGGCCGTCTCTCCGGAGTCAAGCGACCGTGCTGGCGTGCTGGCCGCGCCGCCAATTCGTCCTCCCTCGCCGCGACACTGATAGCATCGCCGTCGTGTCGCAGCGTCGTCTCGGACTCCGCAGACCGGCCGCCACTGTTTTGCAGTGAGGGCGCGCTGCGGCCGAGCCGTGCCGAGCTGGCGTCCAGGACACGTCGACGTGGACGGCCACCGGAACCGCCTTCCTCTCCCGGCCCCGGGGCCTACCGGCGTCGTCGCCGCCGCCAAGGTGGCCGCCATGTTGTTATTGAACGAGAGAGAGAGGGCTAGAGTCTTTCACCTGATGGCGGTCGTTGGTCCGGGGCAGCGGGGCGGCGGGGCGGGGGCAGGACTTGGCAGCAGGGCCGGGGATTGCCGAGTTGATCTCAGACGGAAAATTGGAAAGGGGCAAACGTTATCATCGGTAAGGCCGGCCTGCGCCGCCCTGCGCGCCACCCGGGACCTCCTGCCCTTGGCGTGCAGGCCAGGGTAGGCCTGTGCGATTACTAAAAATAATCGTAATTGATCAATTACCGAAATAATCGAAATTTTACTCAATTCGATGATTCAAAATCGAAAATTGGAATGTCGATCGATTAATTGGATTCAGTCGATTAATTGATTTGTTTTCTAGTGTCAATTTGAAAAACTTAAGAGATTTTTCGATGGAAGTGACAAAGACATTACAAAATTGTGCACTTAAAAGCTGTACAGATAGCAAAAATGCATAAAATCCATGTTTCAGCGACAAACAGGATCCTTCTGATAAACTCAAAAAGGGTAAGAAATCGGTATTAATCGATGATCAATTAATTGAATCTGTGTCGATTCACATTAATCGAATCGGGTCTTTGGAATTCATTGACAATTAAATTAATAATCGACAATTATAGTCAATTATTCGATTAATCGCACAGGCCGCCAGGGCCCTCTTGGCTGCCCTGCGCCGCCTTCCCACTCTCCTTCTCCTCTCTCTTTCTCCCTCCCCTCTCTGACGCCCGTCCATTTGTTGCAGTTTTCCCCGCGCCTTGCCGCCCTTTTCAATCTCTCCACGCCCTCGTATTTTCCGAGTTATTCCCGCCCCTACTTGTTCCGTTCTTTATTTTTATTCGTTCCTTGTCTCTGGCCGGGTGCCGCCGCAACTGCGCGGGAGGGTCCTCTGTGGTAGATAAAAATCCTCTGCCCCCCACCCCCTTCGCTTTGGTGCGGCTGGGCTGGGCAATCGGATGCGGTGCATGGAGGGGGCGGGGACGGCCGGAATAGACGGGAGAAACCAATATCAGGCGCTATTAAAAAGTGACTGGAGGGATGAGTGCATTTCCCGCCTCCGAGCCCTCCCCCCCTCCCCTCCCCTCCCCTCCGCCCCTCCCCTCCCCTCCGCCCCTCCCCTCCCCTCCGCCCCTCCCATGGCATTCCTGCGGCGGCAGTCAAAGTATGCGCATTGCATTTGGCACCCGCTGGACTCCCCCCCCCCGCTCTTGTTCTGCTTCTTTTTGGACTGAATGCCGCGCTCCGCCGCCATGCCCTGGGCTGCGGTTGCCGAGTACGTGAACCAACCAGTCCGACTGGAACTCGAAATTCGCGGCGCCGGGTGAATTTCGTCGCGACGCTCGCTCTCTCCTGCGAATAAACGCAGCTTTATGCCGCCGCGCCTCCCTTCCCTCCGGCGCGCCTAGGCGTGGCGTCCCTCATGCCTCGCCTCATGCCTCGCCTCATGCCTCGCCTCATGCCGTCCCCGCGGAATGGCGATGCCACATGGCGCCGTCAGTATCACGACGCCGAGCCGCTAAACTCTCAAACTGTCCTCCGCCGCCAGCCGCGCCGCGCCGAGCCCCAAGTCCCGCGCCAGCCAACCCGCTCGAGTGGAGTGTGAATACGTCTCTACTCGCCTATTCACAGGACGCCTCTGCTTTGACGATCCCAGGCATTCATCCCGCCTCGAGACAATGCCCAGGCAACCTCCCTCCCCCCCACTTTTCACATCTTTCCCCCTCCCCTCCCCCCTGGGTGTGGTTTGTGTCCTCAACGGCGCCCTGCTTCGCGTTGAACCCCCTCTCGGCGGCGCGCTCATCGGAAGCTCTTTGAGCCCTCTAACACCCCCGCCCCCTCCCCGCCGCCGCCGCTGGTATTGTGGTCTTGACTTGCCGACGAGTGAGTCAAGCCCGGCCGAGCAATGAGCCGTGCGACGTGAGAGTGCTCGCGCTGCCCCCGCCTCGCCTCCCCCTCGCCTCCGCGCCCGCCGAGACGGCGGTAGGCAGGCCGCTCCACGCGCGTGCCACGGGCTTGCCTACCTGCCGATTCGCAGGCGCTCTGCGCCGGCAAGGCGCTGCGGCTGCGCGCCGGTTGTTTCCATTTCTTATTTTCCCATCCGTTTATATTTTTTCTGGTGTCGTGGCGCGGGCGGCTTTGCTCACTTTACTGCCCGGGCATGTGGCGGCGGTGTGATCCCGCGGCGTGGCGGGGGGAGGGGGAGGGGGAGGCGTGACCGGGCTTCGAGATGGCTGGAACAGACTGGAACAGTTGAACACCCTCAAATCTGGGGGTCGTTTCCTCTTTTATTTCCGCGTTAGAGGGGGTGGGGGAGGGGTGGGGAGGGGGCAGCACCGCGCACGGCCGAGCACGGCCACCCTGGCGCCCCGGCCGCGGCCCCACGGGCCCCACCGCGACCGCCCACGCCGCCCCGCTTGCCGAGCAACGAGTCGTAAAGGCGGCCGCCTCGAGTCGGCCCGGCCCGGCCCGGCCCGGCCCGGCCCGGCCCGCGTGCTGTGTTTCGGCCGGGGTTATTTTTCCGCCATTATGATTCATTCCGCGGGCCGCGGCCGGCGTGTATCATTCATTAGGGGCCGGCTCGGCTCGGCGCGGTGCGGCCGGAGCAGGGCGCGGCGGGGCTCGCCCTCGCTCGGCTCGGCTCCGCTGTAACATCTGTAGCGAACGGAGTGCTTCCCGCCCCGCCCCCCGCGCCCCCCACCGTAAGCAGCTGCAGTCTGCAGTCGCTGTGCGCGTTGTGCATGCTGCAGTGTGCAGGCCCGGCAGCCTGGCGAGATATCGCGAGATATCGCGGGGGCCGTGGAGCAGGCTTTACGGCCTGACAAAAGAATGTTTCAGGGGAAAAAAGCGTCGAAAATGGGTTGCTGCCGATGGCCGCGGTCGGGATTCGAACCCGGGTCTGCTGCCGCTGCATTGGCAGTGTGGTGGCATAGCCATTTCCCGCTGCAGTGAATGCGCCGCACCGCCGGCACTGCCGCAGCACGATAGTCATCACAAAGGGAGCGGGTCACGATGGCCGTGATTCTCATTCTGTTGTTGTTTTTGTTTTGCAGAACTGGCAGGTGGTGAACACGGCCGTGCTGACGGGCCGCCAGGTCTCGCAGGCCATGAAGGTGTTCATCGTGAGCCAGGCGGGCCGCGTCGCCGACGTGACGCTGCAGTCCTCGTGCAAGACGGAGGACGACAGCGTGCTCAAGGTGAGAGACAGAGAGACAGAGGTCGGCGGCCAAAACTCTAGACGCTTTTTGAGCTCCAGGGTCGCTTAACAGGACTCGAACCGAACGTGTGACCCCACCAATGGATTCCTCGTTCGGAGAGCAATCCATTGGTGGGGTCACACGTTCGATTTGAGTCCCATTTGGCGACTCTGGAGCTCAAAACGCGTCCGGGATTTTGACCGCCTGCACCGGTCGCCTGGCAAACCCACTGTGCGGTGTACTTGGAAGTGAAACCTGCTGACCGCGAGATTGCTTGCCCCAGGTGTCGTCGTCCTGCACCTCGGTGTACGTGGACGGCTCCGAGATCCGCGGCTCCAGCAACGGCACGGTGCAGGTCAAGTATGGCACGTACACGGGCATGGCGCGCTTCACCGTCTGGATGCCCCAGTTCCCGCTCGAGGTGGCCGTGCAGGACTACCGCCTGTCGCAGATCAAGGGCTGGCGCGTGCCGGACCAGGACGCCAAGTGAGTACGCGGAGTGAGTGTGGCCCAGTGCGGGCGAGTGCAGCCGCTCTGACCGCCCCCCTTCTTACAGCCCGGCCAAGTCGAAGCGGTCCGCGGGCAACGGCGATGACGTGGACGGCTGGGACCACTCGGCCGCCGCGGCCGCCGCCGGCATGGTGGTGGAGGACGTGCTGCAGCACAACAGCCTGGAGCACGAGCGGCAGTCGGCGTGCCGCGCGCGCTTCCAGCAGAGCCCCGTGGAGGTGTACGCGCGCTTCAAGGCCGAGGACCACGACTCGGGGCGCGAGAGCTACTTCGTGTCGCGGCGCACCCTGCTGCTCGTCACGGACCTGGTGCAGGGCTACATGCGCGTGTCCGACCCCCGCATCGCCACGCTGTACGGGCGCGTGGTGCAGGGCCGCAGCAGCGGCCGCACCGAGGTGCAGGTGCTGTCGCCCATCACGGGCCGCGTCATCGGCGCCAAGGAGGTGCGCGTCGTGACCGACAAGGTGAGCGTGAGCCGCATGCTGGTGCGCGTCGTCTCGGGGCTGCAGCTGTCCATCACGGCCGACTCGTCCACGGAGAACGGCTACGTGGCCGAGACCTCCGTCACGCGCAAGCTCACCGCGCAGTACCAGGAGGGGCTGCTGGACATCGACATCGAGTTCTCGGACGGCACGCGCACGCCGCTGCGGGAGGTGGCCGTGCCCGACTACCACCTCATGGTGGAGAGCCTGGCCCCCGACATCGTGGCCTTCGCGCCCATGATGGCCTCCCCGCACCCCAGGGTGATCGCCGTGCGCCAGGGCCGCGGCGACCTGCTCAAGGTGACGCTGCTGCCCTCCGAGGTGTGCCGCGCCGTGATGCGCCGCTCCAAGCCCAAGTCCATCACCAGGTAAGGGAAGGGCGAGCTGGCGCTGCGCCGAGCTGGGCTTGCAGGTTCGTGTTAACCAAGATGGCGATTCTGTTTCGCAGCCACGTCCCGCTGGCCGTGGCCACGGCGCAGGTGGAGGTCAACTTCGCCGCCAGCGACGTCGCGCAGCGGCCCGAGTTCGTGCAGAACGACGGCGGCGGCATGGCGGGCTCCAGCAGCAAGGACAGGAAGGGCGGTCGCGACCTCGCCCCCGACCTGCACGACATCCTCATCGGTAGGTCGACCGGCCCGACGAGAAGGCTTGCCCGTAGTCCCGCCAGCCAAAGGCTTACCGACGCGCTCTGTTCCCCAGGCATCCCCCTCAAGGACGAGAACAACCACGAGCCCACGGTGCAGGCGCGCCAGCACCACTCGTCGGGCAGCAGCGGCGGCTCCCTGGGCGGCATCCTGGGCGGCATCGGGCACACGGCGGTGATCGCGGCGCCGGGGGGCGCGCGCCACCACGGCAACATGCACACCACGCCGCTGGAGATCGGCATGTACGTGCTGCTGGCCGCCTTCTGCTTCGCCATCGTCGTCTTCGTCGTGTCGTGCGTGGTGTACGCCTCCAAGTTCAGCCCTCAGCAGCTCGACCCCATGGCGCCGCTGGGCCAGCCCGGCCAGCCCGGCATCCCCGGCGCGGGCCTGGGCTCGGTGCTGGGCCGCGGGCCGCCGGGCCTCAGCATGTCGGGCATGGGGCTGGGCATGGGCATGGGCATGGGCGTGTCGATGCTCAAGCGCCACCAGCCCAGGGACTCCACCACCAACGTGCACGACTGGGTGTGGCTGGGCAGGGCCACCATGGAGCGCGGCGTGGGCGCGCCGCAGCACGTGGCCCCCACCACCAACTCCAGCGCGCGCTCCGGCCCGCCGCTCAACATCAACAACAACCCGGTAAGGAGGCTGCGGGCCAGCGGTGGCTGTGCCAGTCGCCCTCCAAGTACTGACTCGCCTTTACCGCTGCAGCAGGTGATGAACATCACCACCAACCCCAACTACGCCGACCCCTCCGACGTGACCGAGGAGATGGAGCTGGCCATCGCGGAGTGCCTGAGCAAGCCGGAAGTGGTGGTGATCGCCGAGCCGGTCGCCTCGCCCCGCATCGACAGCGCCACCTACTGCAAGAAGGACAAGGACAAGGGCCACGGCGGCCACGGCGCGCGCGACAAGGACAGAGACAGGCGCGGCGAGAAGCGGCACCACCACCATCGCTCGCACAAGGCCTCGCAAGAAGCCAACGCCGACAGCTGGAAACTGTGAGTCCCAGCGGTTGAATCGCACGGCCTGGCCCGTCCGGGGCAGCGCGCTTTAATGACTAACTCTTTTGCCAACAGGACTCCGCCTCCACCGCCACTTCCAGCGCATGGCTCATCGCCCGAGAGACGAGCTCCTATTCCAGTCGAGGATCCAGATTACAAGCCTCCAGTTCCACCACACCGGAATATCCCTCAGCTGAACGACGAGGAGCCGGCGCCCATCCAGCCTCGTCGACACCACCACCACCACCACAACCGCAATAACATCAACAACCAATGCAATAAAGGCGGCCCAAAAGACCAGGGGAGGCACTCCACAGAAGAGGAAGATGAAGAGGACGATCTTCCAGATCCCACTTTTGTAGAGTTTCCTGAAACATCTCCCGGTCCATCTCAGCTTCAGGGAGTGAGTGCTGAAGTGAAGAGGGCCAACATTGTTGGGAACCCTATGTTCTCGTCGACGGAAGAGGAAGATGAGGAAGATGACGATGAAGATGAGGGTGAGGTGCAAAGGGTACGGGAGGAGTTGCTCGGTCTCGACGACCTCAACATGGACTATGACCAAATAATGGAATACTTTGACAACCTTAAGGAGTCTAATGCCTAGACCTATTCCTAGTTTCAGAAATAATTTCTGTTGTGTTGGCAATATGTCATGGTGGTAAGCCTCAGCCTATTCTAGTCATGTGTACAATTCCATAGCAGGGAGTTAACTTTCAACATGTTAGGTCCTTGTTAAGAGGAGCCAATCATAAAATATTGTACGCTTTTCACTATGAGTTTTAATGTGAGTGAGCTGTTGCTATTGTTAGTCAAAGCACAAAAGTCTCTTTATGTTTGTTCAAACATTGCTATGTATTATAATATAAGCTTTATGTGGTTTTATTCTTGTATAATGCATTCTGTAGGCTTTATTTATGGACACCATGAGAAAAAAAAAGCACCGACAGTATGATCTCTCTGTCTTTAGTAGGGAGAACTCCTCAGGACCTTCTGGTACCATTATTTCTCCTATGGTACTTTGTACATTTTTTCCGTGAGGGCATGTGATGCTCGTTTTTGCCTGTGTAGTGATAAATTGTGAATTTGGCTTTAGTGAATCACATTGCAGGCAAAATTCTTTTCTATTTCTTGGGAGTTTCTCACTGCTGATTTTCAGAACAAAAAATTCTGGCTATATGAATGAAAGGCATTTTACCATTAGATCATAATTTTAATGGGCTATATTTCTTTTCTTTTTTTTCTCTTTTTGTTACTGTGTTGTTAATGTTTTACTGTCATATAATTTATTTATCCATTGGCATGAAAAGAATAGCATTTGATTTGCTGTTGGTGCGGAAAATTTACTACCTTCCATAGTCTTAGTTCATGTTCTGGGTTTTCCCTGTATCTTCCCATAGTTTGTCCTTGTCGTCATGTTGTGCTTCCTGCAAGTTTTGTTGTTCTCTGAGGGAGAACTCATTTGAAAAGCAGGATACAAGATATTTCTGTGTTAAGTTACCATTTCATTCAGTATTCATCCAACAGAGAGAATGTTACAGTTTTCATTCCTGAGATATTTATATTTATAGTTCTATGAGATCTTAATGTTTTATTGTACTATGATATTAATTTTATTATTTTATCCTATATTTATTGCTCTGGTTACGTTTTTTTTGTTTGTTTAGCTCACATGTTTCTTTACACTTAATTTTTTAAATTATTTTTTGTATCCTAGATTGCAATATGAAAACGAAATACTCAAATTACCAACACCACCTTTGAAAAGATACAAACTACCCCACATTGAAGATCTCTATCCATATCAGTAAAACAGTTTTTGACACTGGCTGTTACTTTAAAACTGCTTGTCTTTGTTATGTGGTGCTTCAATCTAGTTACAAGAATGAAATTTCGAACTGCTTAATGAATTAGAATTAGAGATGTTCATAGTAGCGTGTATTGTCACAAACTCCTGATCCTATCAGTACGTTAAGTATGCTGTTATTTATAATTCTAGTCCCTGAATCAAGGCATACCTACCATTAAATAAGCGCAGCTGGCTTGAATCGGATTGTACATGTATGATATATGCTATGTTGTATATACTTACAGGTTTTTTTTGTGGTTGTTTATTTTAGTGCAGAGCTGCGTAAAATGTATTCTTACCTGTTGCCTGTGTGAGTGGATGTGTTTTGGATGTTCCAATTGTTTGATAGAGTTGTACTGGATTACATTATAATGCAGAGGCTATTCTGTTGTAAATTATTACATTATAATGCAGAGGCTATTCTGTTGTAAATTAAGTAAGTATGCCTTATGAAAGGACCCTACTTTTGCTATTTAGAGAAAAAATCCTGCTTGATTACCCATCAAAGGTAAATATATCCTCCTCAATGTTTAGATGAATAAAACTCTTTCATGAATGCAGAATAACTGTAGACTGTTTGGGAGAAGTCATGCTGCAGGCAAAGTAAACTGATATGTTAATTGAAAAAAGATTTAATGCATAAACGGCCATTCAGTTAGTTGTTGTTACTGTTTTTGTCTGCTTTTTTCTACACCAAGATGAGAAAAGCTAGATTAATTTTCTAGTCATAAACTGTACTTGTGAAACAGCCACCATACAACGTGGTTTCCAAGCCACCGCGTGAGGGAAAGCATCTTTTTGTGTGGTGCCTTGTGATATTTATTTCTGGGGTAGCTTGCCGCTACCAGCAGCCATTATGGACATAACAAAGATGATGATTTTAACAGTCTTCCTTATTCCATACCTATGTCTGTTAAAATGTTAATAGGAGATGTGAACAGAGTCATATCTTGCTTTCTTTGTGACTTGGAGCAGGAAGGATTGAGAGGGTTCGCTAGTTTGGCCTGAAATGGCACAAAATGGACTGTTTTGTACATTCTCAGAAGTTCAGAATGTGGTCTACATCCTATGGAGCCAGGTATATCAACTTTATGATGACGTATTCTGGGGAGTCTAGACCCTACATATCATGATTTTGTTTTGACAGCAGCTTCCAAGACTTTTTTCTTACAAGAAGGTGTTGAAATAATTGTTTTAATGCTCTCTATGAAATCATATTGTTCAAATTTTTGTACCTTTACGCTTCATATTGTTTTCTATGTATTTCATCGTACTCTTCTTACCCAACTTCTTTACATACTATTTATTATACGCAGTGAAGAGACTGATTCCCATACCTAGAAATTTGAATCAATTGTTCTAGAGGAATAAAAATGCAGCAGACTTCAGATGTACTCAAGATCGTAGTAGCAATCATGTAATTCTGCATAGACATTTTCAAGATGGTGAAAGAACCTTGCCCCTTGTAAGTGTCACATTTTTCTTGTTTCCCTCTCAATTTTATGTTTATGTATTGCAATCTTTTACCTGTGTCTGACCAAACCTAAAGCCGTTTAAGTTTGCTGAATAATTTACTTTATCTTTGGAAGCAAAAGCAGAACAATGATTTGAGAGGTAATGTTTAGTTTGGAAGCTGTGGAAAGGAGCAAGGACCTTTGCTAGGAAGTTCCTATGTAATCTGTTTATTTTGACTTCTTATATGCTTTCGTAGCAAGATCATTATGCACACATCCATTTTGTTAAGCCTTTAACGTGATAATTATGTAGACAGCCAATCAACAATCACTTCTTAAAATTTATGCTCCTTTGAAAATTGAGTCAAGAGAATTCAAAGTAATCATGCACCACCCAAACATCACATCATGTACATGACAGGGATGTGAATGTTGAATGTGTCTTCTTCAAAATTAAAAGATGTATGTTAAATGTACGGATAGTGTTAACTTACAATACCATCAATAAAGAAGATAACATAAATTGTTGCCCTGACAAGGTTTCTTTCATTTATCCATTCTTCAAGAAACAACCTGCCTTGACAGAAAAGCAAAACACGAGCAAAACACGGCAAGTCACTTTGGTCAAGTGGACGGCGGCAGGGCGCCGGTGAAGTCCGCGAGGGAAGCCCCCGTGCTTGGAGTGCAGTGCTGCACGGCTTAATCGAGCGCACCTCTCGCGTCACTCGATTCACGGCGCCTACAGTGTACAGTAGCTTTGTCCGAAGGCAGCGGTGTACAGCCTGGCCGGCAAGTACGGCAAGTCCGCCCCGCCAGGCGAGGCTTAGCGAGCGAGGCTGCCAGGGAAGCACCGGCCGGCACTGCCGGCACCGCTCGCGTCACGCCGTGCTCTCGCTCGCGGGAGCAGTGTCGCTCTAAGCCGTCTAGAAATGTTATCAGGCCGCGGAGCCGGCCGGCTAGCCGACGCGACGCCGCCGTTGGTGCGGGCTGGTGCTTCCCTGGCGGACTTGCCGGCCAGGCTCCCACTTCCAAGTGTACCCACCGCGTGCGGCGTCCAGATAGGTGCTGCACCACGCCGATTAGGGTGGCACTCCAAGCGTAGGGGCTTCCCTCGCGGACTTCACCGGCACCTCGCCGGCCTATAAGATGGGCTGCAAACCGGCAGGGGGCACGACTCTCAGTCCGACTGCAACGCCGAGCACAAGAACAAGGCAGCCAAGATGGTCCAGCCAGACAACCGCGAGCAGGAGAGGGAGCGCGAGAGGGAGCGAGAGAGGGAGCGAGAGCGAGAGCGCCAGAGGGAGCGCGAGAGAGAGGAGGCACTCCGTCGGTACAACGAGTACTACAAGCAGCGGGAGGAGTAACGAAGGTGAGTGCGAGGAGTGCTTTGCTGTCCGAGACCAGGAACGGTTTTTTTTTTTTTTAGTGTCGTTGTGCTGCAGCGAGTGTAGCAGTGTTAGAGAAAGCCTGTGGAAAGTCATGTCCTGAGTTTGGTCACCCCGACGGTTTCTGACATTCGCACTGTCCCTCGCCTTTCAGATCCAACCAGTGTAGCCGGAGGCGCACCAAAGAGGCTCTGCAGCACGGCCCATAGGCCCTTCGCCTCGTCCCTCGTCCATCCACCTTCCCGCCTCTCGCTGGCCTCTTGCGTCGCTCGACTTCGACGCGGAGGACAAGACTGCGCGGCGACTCCCATCTGCTGCACCAAGAACCGTTCCACCAATAATTTATGTCATTTTCATCATCTTGATCCCATCATTTTATTTAAGCTTTAATTTATTCATCATGCTTTTTTAAATAAATAAACATTGAAAAGAACCGCTGTTTTCTCTCCACGGACACCAACATGCATCCCTTTGAAGATTCACGCCGAGCGACCGATTCTAACGCATTCTCGCTGATACGGCAGCCTACTCTGAAAACTAGGTCATTGGATCAATTTTTTTCTCACTCAAACCACTTACTGGTGAAATACTCGCAAAAATTTTTTTAACAGAATATTTTTAATACATTTGCGAGATGTTGGCCAGCCTGAGCTTGACCGCTTCCGCAACCGTCGAGTCGAAACGCTTTGCCGCCAGTTCCAGAGTTCCACATGCACAACGGATTTCGATTCCACTTGACGAAAAGAGCGAATCACGACCCGCCTGCCTTTCGATTCCAGCAATCCGCTCAAGGCAAGAATCCAACGATGAACCCGGTAAGATTCCCGATTGACCGAACTCCGAAGCTCGTTCGGACGTCACTGCCCGTACCACACACCGCAAGTTTATAACTGCAGCTCGTTTGTGCGTGTCAGTGTGGTGGCTGGGGTCCTTCCTCGTCCTCGTCAGACCTGTCCTCGTCAGCCTGTTGGCCCGTGAAGCGGTACTGCCGGCGCGAAGGACCCGCCTGGGTACCCGTCGATGACGGCTCAGGGTCTTACACCTTGCAGTGCCGAGTAAGTCATGAGCTGGTCTACAGCCTCCTTGTTGTTTTGTCCTAAAACAAAGTTCGTCTTCCTCGTAGGGTGGTCAGCTAATGCTCTCTCAAAGTGGAACCGTTCTGGAGTCCTTGCCATTGAGCAACCACACTCAAATGCACGGCATATCGAAAGGGGATACTCTGCTGATTGCAGTGCGACATCAGGTAGGCTTTGCTTTTCGTCATGAAAGAATGAAGTTGTTGCGTTGTGAATGCCTTTAGTTACTGTATATCTCTACCTCTAGACCACAGGCCGTAAATTCAAAGTGCGCTTTTCATCTCTACAGACCTCAAAAAGCTGCGTAAAATATCTACAAAATTTCTTCCCCATGAAGGATATAACAAGTAATAGCTGAATTTCTGAGCTTCTCAGCTGAGCTGAGTTTCTGGGTTAAAATTTCAGATCTAAACAATTAATAAAACGTTGCTTTGGATTTCAGAGCCAGAAGAAAGTGTACCCATTCCACTCGGTGAAATGTATGAACAATTAATGCATACAACACCAACAGATTGTGTCCCAAGTAAGTTAGGATCTATAATGCATCTAATCCCTGAAAAGAGTAAATCTAAAATTTATTTTCTATGTTCTCCTTTCCAAACTAGATCCAGACCCAATACCTCCATCATTTCCTCTTGAAGAGACGCTGCAAATGTGTATTTTAGACCCTTCCTTTCCAAACCTGGTTGTAAGAGTTGCTGATATCTTGTCCAAGTTTGATCAAGCAAGAGAAGTCGATGGTTAAAAGACACAACAATGTTACTATTGAAAATTTAATTTGCAATTTTGTCTTATAAATAGTTTTTTTTTTCTTTCTCTGAAATATATAACATCCCAATGACAACACTTTACCTGTGTTTAGTCATAGCACTGTAAAAGTTAACAACCTTATCTGGCGATTCCATAACTCTTTTCACTTCCTCATCAAGTGATGCAATGGAAATATAATGCTTGGATGCCTTCTGCTTTGCAATCACTTTTTTCGGTGGTGGGATGGCAGGGTTGAAAGCCACACTGCTGCCGTCATATTGAAACAAAAGATCATCTGCAGTTCTGTCAACAAGAAAGAGTTTTAAAAAATGGTGGTCAAGCTTTTGAAAACACTAAGAACACTGAAGCACAGAATCAGAAAACGTACAATTTTGCTAGATCCAGAGGTAAACTCCCTGCACCAGTGGGTGGTGCACCAGAAGCAATAAAATGTGAGTACTTCCTGACATGTGGGTGGTAGTGGCGCTAAAAGAAAAATATCAATTCAATATCACACATTACTGATTTTTGGAAAATATTTACATAAGACGTCAACCAAACAATTTGGTTCCTTAAAGTGTTTTCTCACCTGGAGTAGGGCTACTTCCCACAGAGAAGAACTGCTAGCATTACAGTATTCTGGTTCTTCCAGCATTGGGTCATACAAGCCTTGGCCACCAGATAGGTCAAGATCGAGAAGAACATCAGCAAACTTGTTGAGCTGAAGGGTTTGGTATTCAAATTAGTGGAAGGTTGTTACAGAGTCGTTACATATTACCTCAAAGAAATTTACCTGAATGACATTTTTTATGTGACCAAGGCATGACAGGGATCCATTATGCAACAGATGTAGAGACAGAGTTGCCAAGCGCTTTGTAAAGGCCAAAACTCTTTGATGAGAGACCTTTTTTCTCCGTTTAATCAACATTACTTCCACAGTCCTTGCCAAAATGGATATGTCAGAGTGAGTTTTTCCTGAACAAAAATATTGCAACAGTGGAGTTTAACCGCTACTAACACAATATCAATAGTTCTTTTTTAATTTTTAATAAGTCTTACCAGCATGGATTTGCAGCATGTTACGATAAAGGTGAGTGTAGAACCGAATTGGGTCAATAGTTAACATTTCACCTTGTCCGGATAAAATAGTAAATACAGTTTGCACAATGTGTAACTGTTCCCGGTATCCCAAATCACCTGACTCCATTAACTCATTCATACAATTGACCAAGTCATGGTAGTACTCCAAATTGATACAATGTGAGAACCTGAAGAAAAAAAATCATAATAAGTGTACTTGGAATGGAAAGTAGGAATTGGATAGAAAAATAAATGTAACATAGGTACTTTGCTAGTCCTTCCAGACAAACAGATAGAAGTTTGGAATTATATTCCTGCTTCAAAATTCTGAAGTATATCATAAAAACTACTTTCACCACTTCAGTAAAAGCCTGCTGCTTTTTCTGTTTGTTTTCTTCTGCCTCAGTTTCCATCAGTTCCCTGTTGACTTCTTTCAGCATTTTCTCTCTCTGGAAAGATCAAGAGAAAACAATAATTTTTCATGACTTACCACAAGATACAAGTTTCAAAAAATGATGCTACAATACCTTTCTTTCAGTCCTGGACATAGTGAGAATTTTCATTTTGCGTCCTTTAAGCTTCTTCTGCTGCAAGTCATCCTCTTTTTCCTTATCTAAGTTAATGTCTTTGATGCGCAGGGAAAGAAGAACTTCAAGCACATGTGGATGAGCATTGTGCTCGCGTCGTTTAACCAATCCATTTATGCGTTTGACAATCTATTATTTAGAAACAAAGTTGTCAGATGAGGCAACTGAAGTAAAGTTAAAGAACCTCAACACACAAACTCACCTCAAGTGAAATGTCACCACGCTTGTCTTCCTTGAAAACCCTCTTAATAGCATCTCTTGCAATGTCCCGCACAGCAGAGTTAGAGTTGTCCAGAAATGTTACAAGAAAATAAGCTAAATTATTGGAAAAGTTAAAATAGGGATGTGCTACTAACAGTTCTGCCATACATTTGACAGAAACCACCCCAAGTTGTATTTCTTGCTGTTGAAACAAATGATAAATTAATTACATGAACCAAAACAAAGCACTCTTCATAAGAAAACAAATAGCGCACCTCTGAGCTTTTCCTAGTATCCCCCTTCTTACGTATGAGACATGACGATAGGGCTTCCAATTTAGTGAGGTATTTCTTGTAAGCAGCCAGCAGATCTTGCTCAAACTTCCGGAGAGCTATAGTAACCTTTTTAACTGAAAAATTCAAAAAATAATAAAGGTTGGAGAAAATATTTAAAAAGAAAAACAGGAAAACAAAGGTTAAAAAAGGTAGGCTATCAAAAACATTGATACTTACGCTGAACTTTTTCTATTTCAATATGTCTGATGTAGTAAGAAGGCAAAACATCCTTAAATACTTCCAGCAAAGACACAGCTACAAGTTTCCTTACTGAAATCTTCACTTCGGGGTGAGTCTCTTCCATCATCTCCAGAAGAGGTGTAAAATTAATGAGCTGGAAAACAAAAATGATCATTTTATGTAACAAATGAATGAATTTGGGCCACATGATGAAGTTGGGAAAATTTTTAAAACAGAAGCCAGTTTACCTTTTGTTCGGGATTTTCAATAATACCACTGCATAACACACCAATATGAAACTTTCGCTTATTTAAAATAGCTTCACGACGTGCTAGTAACTGAGCAGTTGTGATAGGCTGAAGCGGATCAATTTCATCAACTTCATTTAAGGTGAAGTCTAATTCATCATCACTTTCCTTCTCAATTTCAGGTGTCTCTACTTTCTTTGCTTGCTTAGCAGGGCGTCCAGCCTTTTCTGGCACTTCATCTGCATCTGTGAAATTTTTTGAAACGTGTTTAAAAATGGTACATAAAATTGAGCTTCAGTGTCAATTATTTATCCCTAGTATCTCACCATCACAATCAACTTGTCTGATAACCAAACCATGTGATGTCTTTATGGGCAATAATTGCTTCTGCTTTGGAGCAGATACAATGGTTTCAGCAAATTCATTTTCTAATTCATCTTCCTCCTCCTCCTCTTCGTTCCTTCTCTTCTTTTTACGAGGTCCTTTCCCTGAGCCTTGGCTGAAAGATAAAGTGAGATACAATTAAATGTAGCATAATTTAGAAAACCAATAGATTTATTATCAAAATAAATAAGAAATAAAGAGACATACTCAGCTGAAGACCGTATTTGTTTGAACAATTGATAACTACGGTCGGTAACTGACTTCTTGATGAATTCAAGATCATCATCTTCTACCATGCTCAACAAATCTGCCCCTTGTTCGAACTCATCCTCTTCATTATGTTCTTCAACCGTTGGTGTTTGTTGCCCTTTCTTTGAGGGCACTTTTTTCGCTTTTGCGCCACTGGCTAAAAGGCTTTTCCTTGCTTCTTTTTTCGCTTGGCGAGATAATATTTTTCCAGGGCGTACCTTCTTGTTTGCCTTCTGATTAGCGAGCTTCACCTTGCTCACCTTGTTCGACTTAGTCGCCTTCTTCAAAGCTTTTTGTTTCACCTACAAACATGGAAAAACAAAGTATTTTTTAAAATAAATTTTAAATACGAATGGAAATATTATACGACATGCATAAGAAATTTCTAGCAAAGTTGTCAAGCAGTTAGCAGAAAACCACCTGAAAACGTTAGGTTATAGAGGAGTACACAAGACATTTACGAAATAAAATAACAAAAGTACCATTTCTAAATAAGTGAGTTTCAAGCAACGTAAGCGTGCTGAATGAGCAGAATATAAAAGTGTGAGAATTCGCTAAAAGAATACATACCATTTTGAATTGTTAAAGAAAACACGTTCACGTTTCAAAGTCAAAACATGCTGCTTTCGGAAATCGCGATTTTTCATAGCACAGCACGCGGCCGGGTCTTTGATTCCACCGCAAGGAACAAAAATCCTGCCTGTTTGTTGATGTAAAGTTGTAGTTACAGTCGAGAAAGTCTGAATCATATCCTCTCTTTCTTTTAGCAATCCTTGATCAAGGACACTTTATATTATTTTTGAGAGGCTTCTGTTTGTGTTCAATCATTCAAAATGGGGAAACGACAACATCAGAAGGACAAGATGTAAGGAGTTTGTTGTGCTTTTAAGGTTAATTTTGCTCTTAATATGTTAACTGACATATTATTTGTGCAGGTACCTAACTTACACAGAGTGGAGTACTCTGTATGGAGGGAAGAAAGCTGACAATCCCAACTCGGATGAGGCTAATTTCAGACGGCTTCCATTCGACCATTGCTGCGTCAGCCTTGTACCCTGGGAGAACCCTTACTGTGATGAGAATGGCAACGTGTTTGAGCTTCAATCTATCTTAGATTATTACAAAAAATATAAGAAGAATCCTATCACTGGAGAGGTAAAGTGTTTTCTCTCTTGAGTTCACCCGTCAAGGTTTCAATTAATGCCTTGCGGTTTCGGGGCCTTGAAACCAATGAATCAGCTCTCAATTTGTACGTTTTCATTATGTCCCTTTTTCAGGCACTAGATGTTAAAAAGCTGACCAAGCTTAATTTTTCGAAGAATGCTGAAGGAGAATACCACTGTCCTGTGCTATTCAAAACATTCTCCAACAGTTCTCACATTGTTGCAATCAGCACCACTGGCAATGTCTTTTCACATGAGGTGGGTGTAAACACAAAGCCCAAAACTTAAAAAAAAAAAAATAATATTGATTGATTGTTCTTTGAAGCTCAAACTTCTTTTTTACTCTTGCAGGCTGTTGAACAATTGAACTTCAAAACTAAAAATTATAAAGATTTGCTCACTGACCAAAACTTTGTCAGGAAGGATGTACTAACTATCCAGGATCCACAAAATGTTGATAAGTTTAATTTATCCAAGTTTTATCACATTAAAAACAGTCACCGTTTGGTAGAGGATGGTAAATGATCTTTAATATTCTTGAACTTTGGAACACTGTCCGATTATTATATTATTGTATGTCAATACTCTTCTGTGTTTCTTCCCATTTGTAAGACGATGATCCAACTGCACGTTTGAAGAATGTGAACAAAGAGACACAACTAGTCTTAGATACCCTGCAAAAGGAGTACAAAGCACCAGAGAAGAAAGATGTCATACAAGAAAAGGCTGACAAATTTAATGCTGTGAGTTGCATCATATTCTTTTGATTCGTTCCATTCAAAATTTTACACCAGTTACCGTGGAGAAAAGAAACAAACTCATTGCGTGTGGTTATTGGATTCTTTTGTCCACGGTGGTATATATGTTCTGTTTTTCAAGTGCATGTTTTCTGCCTAAAGGCACATTACTCTACTGGTGCTGTTGCTGCTGGATTCACATCTACAGTCATGGCCCCTGAAACTAAAGCAGAGGCAGCTATTGTCGAAGAGGATCTGGTGCGCTATGAGAGGGTCAAAAAGAAATGTTGGTTTGTTGCTTGATTGTGTTGTTGTTACCAATTAACATTGCTCAATCATTTGTAATTTATTCTTTTCTTCTTTTCTCCTAGCTTATGTTCGCCTGTATACAAATGTTGGGGTTCTTAATTTAGAACTGCACTCTGATTTGGTTCCTAAAACCTGTGAGAATTTTTTGAAACATTGCCAGAATGGATACTATAATGGAACAAAGTTTCATCGCTCAATCCGAAATTTCATGGTGAACAATTTCTCTTATTGCCCTGTGACTTAGTGATTAATGTTCTCTTAGCTTCAATATTTGTCATTGGTTGTGATCTTGAATGTCCTTAGATACAAGGTGGTGACCCAACAGGAACTGGGACAGGGGGACAGTCAATCTGGGGCAAACCATTCAAAGATGAATTCAAACCTAACTTGACTCATACAGGAAGGGGAGTCTTATCAATGGCCAACTCTGGTTCAGACACCAACAAAGCTCAGTTGTAAGTTTTATCAAATTTTTTTTCTTGTTTTTTATTACCCGAGCCAGTTTTTACCTTCACAGTGCCATTTCCTGTTTTCAGTTTCATCACTTATAGGTCCTGCCGACATCTAGATAGTAAGCACACGGTTTTCGGCAAAGTGGTTGGAGGCCTTGATACTCTTACAGCGATGGAACAAATAGAAGTGGACAACAAAGATCGACCTATAGAAGACATAGTCATTGAAAGAGCAAGCGTTTTTGTTGACCCATACCAGGAGGCAGATGATCAAGTATGCTATGAGCCATGATGCAACTAGTGTTTACCATAATGTTTTCTGGAAAGAAATGCCTGGATGTAAGAGTGTTTTAATTATTTTTTTGACAGCTTGCAGCAGAACGAGCTGAGGAAATGAAGAAAATTGCAGAGGAAAAGGCAGCGTTAAACCGGGCTGCTCCAAAGAAGGATGCTGCATTGAAAGTTTATCGGTCAGGTGTAGGGAAATATATTCCAAAGCTCGATAACATTAAGTGAGTCTTCAAATTTTTTATTCTTTCTATTGCGTGCCTTTTGAGAAAATGTATTGTGACCACTAATATTTTCATTTATTATTAAAATTTTAGGCCGGAGAAATCTGACAAAATTTCTGAACCAGCTCCCAAAAAGAAGAAAGTTGCAGGATATGAATTTGGCAGCTTCAGTAATTGGTAGTCTATTGGATATTTTAATCATGGTCACCTTATTTACAACTATTTTTATCTTGTACTTATGCTGTGAAATACAAATTTCTATAATATGTAACACCATTGAAATTTTTTGACTTTACTCTGCATTATTTGACCTTGCTTGCCCCAGTTCGCACAAATAAATACTAAAACAAGTTCCTTTCGATCATTGACAGTAGGGACGCGAATTTAGTTTGAATTTGGCGCGTCCTTGGTGCTGTCACATTCACATTGACATTGGGTTATCAGCATCGGTAGTCGGTATTTTCACACTGATATGGTTTATCTCCAAATTTGTCACCCGTTCTAAAGTCCAAATTTGGGCCCTCGTTCGGGGCTGAATTAGTGACGCGCTACCGGTGGCCTCAAAAATAGTTGTTCCTGAACAGAAAGCCCCGTTTGTCGCCCGAAATGGATGATCTAGGTGAGTAAAGCTGAGGACTGTGCCTGTCTTAATGTCAAAATTCGACAAAGTCTAAGTTTGAGGACTTTAAGCCCTTGCCGCTTGTCTCGGTTACTATTTCGTGTTTTTAAAAATAAATTTTCAATGTTTTGAAGCTTTAAAAAAAATTTACACAACGAAAATAAGGAAGTGTGACATCAGTCGTGGGCGTTGTGTTTGTAAACAATGTCCTAACCTTTACAAAGTTAGGTTATCTCTTGCTTATTTCGATCCAACTGCCACTCCTCAAAAGATCTCCCTGAATCATACATTGACTGCCACTTCGCTCGCTGCTACAATTATTTTTTCAGCACGTCTCTGTCAATGCACTGGCATATCCAGTCGTTAAACAGCGACAACTATTATGCTCTGTGGTGCTACGCTCAAGCTGACTGGGGTAGTTTTTCTTTAAAGTAGTTGCTTCTAATATGGTTCTAGTGTATCCCAAAGGTATTGAAACGTAACATCTTCCCAAGATGATAGGATTTGTCTCCAGTGATTGCATCGCAATGCCAGCGATTTGCATCTGTTGCGTAGAGTGCTGTATACCTGAATTGATTTCTGTGCTGGTGTCGTATTGCTTCATGTGATTCATAGCAGCGTCATCTTCTTCTGATTTCTTGTGGCTCTGATTATGCCTCACGCTCATGTTATTACGGCAAGTGTGTGTAGCTCATTTCCACAGCATCATCGCTCCTGCACTGTCGTGCAATGACCTAACTGTCAATGAGCAGCTTCTTTAATAACGTCCCAAATTGCTCCCTATTTTATTTTATATTTGTTTCAAAAGTGATTTAAGCATGTAGTTAACTTCTGGGTACTTAATGTTTCTACAGCGAAAGACTAGACTGTCCACTCATTATCACGGTGTTCCTACGTGCTATGCGTCAAGATTGAAATTTGAGCCAATGGCTGATAAACACTGGTTGACAGGTGCATCCATGCTGGATTGCCTGCCGCTTTCCAACCGGACTGTACCACACCACACTGTACTGCACTGCACTGACCCTAAGCTAAGTAAGGTGCCTGTCGGCTTGTCGGCGTCTTGGCAGGCGGCTGAGCCGCGGCTAGCAGCCCCACTGCAGTACACTACACTGCAGTGTGCCGTCTACCGTCTGGTCGAAGACGTGTCCGAGAGGCGGGGGGAGCAGGCACTGCCAGGCAGGCAACCCCGAAGGGACCGCGGCGCGGCGCGGCGCCTCCACCGCGAGGGGCGGGGCGGAGGGGCGTCGGGGCGTCGAGACGCCGGTCGGGTCCCTGCCAGTGGCGGTGCCCTAGCGGTGCCGCGGTACCGCGGTGCTGCTGCTGCACTGCTAGTGGCCGCTGGCGCGTCGGGCCAGGAGCACGTGCGCGTCGAGCGTCGCGTCGCGTCGAGCGTCGAGCACGCGTGTGGAGCACGCCGCGCCGCGCGCACCGAGGTACCCGCCGAGTCTCACCCACCCACGTGTCGATGGCGTGCACGCGTGACGTCACCCTCCGACGGAGTGACGCGTCCGTGACGCGCGTGCGGACGCCGGCGCGTGTCAGTGACAGGCACGACACGTGTCGCGCGAGGGGCGAACACCTCCAGTGAAGGCGTGCGGGCAGAGCAGCGGAAATTACCCGCCAAACCGCCCTCAGGGCCTGTGGCTGCTTGCAGTCTTGGACTCTAGGACCTCTCGCGGGCTGTGACACTGTGCGCTGCCCGTCGAGCCGGCACTTCGGACTGACACCTCCAGTTGTTCGCCCCTCGCTGTGCGACGTGACGTGTCCGTGACGTGTCTGTGACGCCGCTCCGTCGTTCGTGACGCGTGTTGTGACACGCCGTTGGCCGTGTCGAGTCAGCCCGGCGTTGTTTTCCCGCCACATGTTGACCCCGTGTTGACCGGCTCGCGCTGCCTCTCTCGCACTCGTGGCGCCGCCGTCGGGGTGCGAGAGAGGCAGCGCGGGGAGACACCGCCCGTTGACGGCGGCACAGTGACGGTGGCGTGACGCGCTTGTCCGTGTCCAGGCCCCGCGGCTCCGCCATGGACCGCACGATGTACGGCAAGGTGGCGCCCGGCGACCTGCAGCGGCCCTATCGCATAGCCATGGAGAACGGGTCGGAAAAACCTGGCTGTAAGTTGGACACGCCCATTATGTGGACCGCCAAAGTTGTGAGATACTCGGAAAGCGCGACCCTAGGTAAGGAGCTGCGAGGCCAACTGACTGCAACACCACACGCCCGGTTGCCCGGTTGGCTTTGCAGGGTGTGTTTCGTGTGCTTGTTGCTGCTGCATCTTAGTGCCGCACAGTGCACGCACTCGGTGGACGTGGAGTCGCGGCGCGGAGACTGGACAGGGCCCGCTCTGTGCCGCCATGGAGACACACTGCGGGGTTGGACCAGCCGGGGTCGGCCAGGCCTAGCCAGGCCGGGCCGCGCTGGGTGTGTCCAGTTTGGTGCTAAGCCGCGCGTGACCGGAGACATCCTGCAGCCTGCCTGGTGGTGCCGCCCCGCGGCCCGCTTTTCACTTATTCATCACCGAGGCTTCCCATTCTCGTTATTTCGGAGCCTGCCTCGCAGTGCCTCGTCTGGCCGGCGGGGCGGATCGGCCGCGAACACCAAACACCGCGTGTCGCCCATTTGCTGTCGCCGGGTTTCACAAATTCACTCTGTCGCACGCGGGGCAGCCGGGGCGCGCGGCCGCGTGTGGGAGGCCAGGGAAAGGGGTGGGGGAGGCTGGCCGAGCCGGCGGCCGTTGGACTCTCCGTCAAACCAGAGTCCCGCCTAACCTAACTTGCCAACCTAACCCGACCTAACCCTCGCCGCGGGTGAACGGTGCTGATAGCGGGCCACCTGTTGGCCGCGGGGTGGACCACGCCGACCACGCCATGGCGGCTCCACGCGAGCGGCGGCAGCGTGTTGTTGAAACGCCGCCAGGCTATTTCCACGTTAGCGCCGCCAACCTTGGTACACATTATGAAATGCCCCTGCTTTACGTGGACCCCGTGGACGCTGGGGACCCACAGTGGGCCAGAAGACCGGTGGAGGCGGCAAAAATTCTAGACGCGTTTTGAGCGCCAGAGTCTCTAAACAGGGCTCGATGCGAACGTGTGACCCCACCAATGGATTCCTCGTTCGGAGAGCAATCCATTGGTGGGGTCACACGTTCGGTTCGAGTCCCATTTAGTGACTCGTTCGGAGCCACGGCGTTTGTCCCTTGCTGAGAGGACTGCTCGGAGGGCCTGGAGACGCAACGGTCTCTGTAGACTCTCTCGCAGGCCGGCAGGTTGGCAGGCCTAGACGCCCAGGGGAAGGGCATTCCTGTTCGCCCACGTGCGTGTGTACGCCGCGTACCTGCGCAGGTTCGCCAACGCACCGCCGCGAAACATGCACCTCGTCCGGCCCTGCACTGTCGGCACCGCACTTGCGTAGGATTTGGCCGAGCCTGGCGCGGCAGCGAGGCACGCCCCGTAAACGGCACAATTTCGAATCGCACTCTGCCAGGAACTGGGCGAGGACTTTCCGATCTCCCGCGCCTTGGCTCCACGTCCACTCGGGTGCTGAATGCGTTCCGTGTGCTAACTGAATGCAACTGTTTTGTTCCCTTGTCTGTAAAGTCTCTCATTTCTTATTCGTGTAACGTTCAAATTTTTGTTCAAATCTTATTTTTTGAAAAAGCCTCAATTTTTCATGATTTTTTTCTCCCTTATATTTTTTTTTATCGTCGGTGTTTTAACGGGCCACTACGGAATTTTAATGTAGCCAGCAACAAAGACATGGCGCACCGTGACCTAACCTTTGACAGTCGTGCTTTTGCTAATAAGCTGTACATTGCCTGCATGTGTGTGAGTGTGTGTGTGTGTTTTTCAGGGTTAGGCTGACGGTGTGTGAGGAAGTGAGGATCCTGGCAGAGCATAAGGCGGCACTGTTCGCCCTCAGGTGGCTCGCTAAACAACGAACGGGCGTCGTCAGGTGCTGCTGCGCGCTGCGCTGCGGGCTCGAATAGCTTGCCGAAACAACGCACACTTTTAACGGGGCACTGTCGGAGGAGAGGAAGTCTCGGTCGCGGCCTTGGGGGGCACGTCCTCCTCATGGCTCGGCTCGAGTGTGGAGCACTCGCGATTCGGCCTTACGTTGCCTTACGTCGGCTTCGGACGGACAGATGCACGCAGGCCGCGCAGTACTGTACCTAGGAAGAAAGGCCTTTTAAATTTTCCCGGCGGTCAAAGAACTCTTTCCACTCACGCAGCACACTTTTTCACGAACTTTTGTTTGTTGTCGAGAAAATACAATGGTGGTTGTTTTTATTCTCCTTCGGCTGTGGTCTTTTTTGGGGTGTAGTGAACAGCACCTCGCTACTCCTGTAATCTACTGTGTCCTGACGTTGGAACAATTAGCTGATTTGTTTCGTCTTTGCACGTTGATTGGTTCTCCGTTTGATGTGGCCGCGGGCCGCACCGCGCGGCGTGCGGGAGGCCCTCTAGCTATTTCTGCGTGGTAATGAACGCAGCGGGCCACGCTAGCGGCACGCCCGCCCTCGCCACCAGTGGGCCACCACCACCCGCCAGCACGCCAAGCACCCCCTTCGCTCCGCTGCAAGTTATTGTCCGAGAGGAAGCAGTTTGCTTTGCGCGCCTTGCGCTCGGGATGAGTCACCGAGCCTGCCGCCAAA